GCCCTACTCGCGCCTCCCAATGGTCAGCCCGATACCACCCTAATGCCCAGTGAGTGACATATTCTACCCAAACTTCTTGACTCAAGTAGACCGTGCCATCAGCGCGAACCGCTGCCTGTCGGGCCTTTCCCCCGTTCCTAGGTCTATTCTTAGTCCACTGATCCCCCTCCCAAATTCCTACGGCGAACCGTGCCCAGAGAAAAACTCCCTTTTCGAGCTCCACACATCTTTCGCGTCCGGCTAAGTACCTCTTTGTACGATGGTCCAAAGGGACGTTGAAGCACTCTCTCTCCTTTTTCGCCCCTCTCGATTTGGACCCTACCGTCGCCAATTGCATTTACAATCCTGACCATGCCCCTCCCTGGCTTTGGACCACCTCCTCAATAATCCCTATTAACACCTTCCAACCGTCCGACCCGTCGAGGTAGGCCTCCGGTATCGTTGGGGCAGCTCGCTCTCCTCGTCGGAGGTCCGGCAACCCAGCGTATAAAAATACCGAATCCCATAATTTCCTAAAGTTCCCTCTCTAGTTGAGCATGACCAACCGCCTCTTCCCAGCTATCAAGGAAGTCTTCCCCTCGATCCGCCCCTTCTTCCACATAGAGTGCTATATCAAAATCTCCGGTCCATAGATAAAAGTTGTAACACCATACGTTCACACCCCCACGACTACCCACGTTAATGCCTGCCGGCTCAACATCGAGAACTCCTAGGCTTATAGGCCCCTTACTCCCCCACTATCTCCTCTACGATCCCGACCAGCACTCTCCACCCGTCAGATCCGTCGAGATACGCGTTCGGAATTACGGGCGCGGGTCGCCCGCCCCTAGGGTGGGTCCGGTACCCCAAAGTGTAGAAGTATCTAAACCCGTACCCCCTCAGCTCAGCTCTTTCTATGCGAGAGTAACCGACTGCTTCCTCCCATCCACGAAGGAAATCCTCTCCTTGATCCTGCCCTTCCTCTATGTAAATGGCAATGTCAAAATCTCCCGTCCATAGACGAAAGGTGTAGCACCACACGTCGATTCCTCCGTAACTACTCACACTTATCCCTTCCAGAACCGCCTCTAGGCTCATATGCTCATCCTAATCAAGGAAAATCTCCTTCGTCGCCCTTTCTTTTGGTCACTCGAGAGACCACCCCTACCCTGCAAGGAGAAGGTGCCTGTGAGCCGAGCAAGATCAAATGGACTAGAGAAGGAACGTCGTCTCACTCAGCTACCCTCCTGTCCTCCCCTGCTGAGAGGTCCTCCCACTTCCAAGCATAGAGACTAGCCGCGATCACAGGTTATCCCCGAGGAAGGGTGGCAACCCCCTCCCCAGAGTCGGACCGAAGTCACACACCAGTGCCCTATGTCCCCCACCGAACCGACTTCTAGTCCTAAGTTACCCTATCCGACACCACGCCCCTACTCGGCCCACCTCGAGCGTGGAATTACCCGGGTCCCAGGACTTTTATCCACCTACCGATCGAGAATCACTAGCCTATCTACTCCCTCCCATTCTCCTCCTTGTATCGTGAACTCTTCTAACTTCGTTCCCTTCTTTCTCTTCGCCATCGTCTGACTTTTTTTTCTCTTGGAATCAGAGTATTTAATCGGGGTTCCACAAAAAAAAGGGTGGGGAAGTAGAACTTTAGCAAGAGAGTCTCTTAGGTTTGGCCACTTTAAATACGTACCTTGTAGTCTTCGACTTTTTCAGAATTCATTCTCGTAGTCCCAGTAGTCCCCGATATCCGAGTCCGAGAAATCGGCAAGACACCAGTCCACCCAAGACTCGGCCTCCGATTCCTCGCCCAAGGTATCCCACGTATCTCTTCTTTCTTCTTCCCGAATCAGTCCCCTACCCCTTTCGTTCTCTACGGCAGTTGAAGTTCCCTCTACCCTTTGTCCCGGAACCTGAAGCACTACCCTCCTCGCCCCCAAGTCCCGAACAGCGCCCGCGTGAGAACTCCGCTCCCTCGCAGGAGTCGCATCCCGTGCAGGTGTTGTCCACAACCCGCAAGGGTCGAGAACAGAAAACCCAGCTCCCACTTGAGAAGCTCGTTCCCTTGTTGGAGTTTCGTCCCCTACGGGCGACGTCCACAACCCGTGCGGGTCGAGAATATTAGGAAAACCCCTTTCTCTTTGGACCAGCCCTGTCGGATCCCAAACCGATGGCGTCCCTGGGCCCCCTCGAACCCCCCTTTCCTCTCTCCCCCTAGTGTCCACTATCTCTTCCCCACGCGCGGACCCACTCACACAATTTTCCCTGACGGCTCTTCTTCCCCCTCTTTGGTTGTTTTTCACCCTCATTCAAACCCCACAAACAAACTGTCTTACCCTCTTAATTTGTGAATTTTCTTTGAAATAAACACACAAAAAATATCACGCCTCCCAGCACAAGTCTGACCTGGTTCTTCTTTTGGAAGTCGCAAGTGGGCTGAAGTTGCAAGCGGGGCCGACGCGGACCTGCAAAACCAAGAGATTCCAATACCCCAAGCCCCTCGCACCCAAGCAACTCGGCAACCCCTCCCACAAGGCTCCAATCGAACACACGTCCCGACGCTGCCCGAAAGGATGTCGTCAAGGAAATGCCGCCAAAAGGTCACCGAAAAAAAAGTACCGGGGAAGTTCGAAGCCGAAAACGCCGTTGGAAAAGTTGATGTCGAAAGGAAAATTGCCGAAGAAACTGATGCCGAGAAAATATCGTTGAAAAAGTTGATGCCGAAAACAAAAACTGCCGAAGAAACTGATGCCGATACCAACAAAAAATGAGCCCTCTGCTACCTGTCACGCTCGTTCTCCCTCATACCGTAGTCCGTGAGCCGGCCGAGGCCGCAGGAGAAAGCCCATCCCTGGTACCGCCTACCCCAACAGCACGGAATTCGCAAAGCCCCGCGCGGTTTGAGGAGCTCCTTCCGGACCCCAAGCTGGACCAGGCCTCACCACAGACAGACCTAACTGCATATAACTCAAAAAGAGACCCCACACCTCGCTAGCTCTTTTTCACGCATGCAAATTTC